ATGGACCTTGAGGGTGTTATGCTGAGCGAAATAAGTCAGGCAGAGAAGGACAAATATCATATGTTTGCACGTATAGGAGGATTAGGAGGAACTTGACGGAGGAACAAGGGGGAGAAGAAGGGCGGAAATGGTGGGGGAAAGGGAGAGAGGCAAACCATGAGAGACTCTTGAATGCTGACAAAAACTGAGGACTGATGGATGTGGGGGGGAGGGGGGGATGGGCATGGAGGAGGGCACTTTGGGGATGAGCACTGAGTGTTATGTAGAAACTAATTTGACAATAAACTATTTGTAAAAAAAAAAATAAATAAAATAAAAAAAAATACCACGTAAAAAAAAAAAAAAAAGATTTATGTCTATGATATTGATAATGGTAATGCTGACTGTAATGCCTGTCAGATGAATCTTATACATTGGTTTATTTGCCATCTCAGGGGATGGTGAAATGAAGGCTGGAGGATGATGCTCTATCATATATTATCCTAAACCAATAATGTTTCTTAAATTAAAGTCTTCAGAGCACCTGCATCCAAGTCACCTGAAGTGCTCTTTTAAAATGGACATTCCCTGGGAGAAGATATTTGCAAATTATGTGTCTAATAAGGAGTCACTATTTAAAGTGTACAAAGAACTCATACAACTCAATAATTAAGAAACAGGCAGAGGATCCGAGTAAACATTTTTTCCATAGAAGACATACACATGGTCAATGGGTACATGAAAAGGTGCTCAACATCATTAGTCATCAGGGAAATACAAATCAAAACACAATGGGTTATCACCTCACATATCTTAGAATGGTTGTCATGAAAAGGACAAGAAATAAGTGTTGGCAAGGATGTGGAGGAAAGAGAAACCTTGTGCACCACTGGTGGCAATGTAACTTGGAGAAGAGATATTGGCATCCCCATATCTAATGCAGTGTTATTTACAATAGCCAAGACATGGGAACAACTTAAGTGTCCACCAATGAATTAATGGAACAAGAAAATATGGTGTGTGTATACACAATGGGTTATTATTCAGTCATAAAGAAAGAAGGAAATTCTGCCATTCGTGACAACATGGATGGAACCTGAGGGCAATATACTAAATGAAATAAGCCAGACAGACAAAGACAAGCACTGTATGATCTCACTTATATGTGGAATCTTAATAAAACAAATTCACAGAAATAGAGAACAGGTTGGTGCCTGTCAGAGGTGGGGGAGAGGGGAAAAGGCTAAAAGCTACAAACTTCTAGTTATAAATAAGTCTCAGAGATGTAATATACAACATGATGACTATAGTTAACAATATTTTATATTTTGAAGTTGCTAAAAGGTAGATCTTAAAAGTTCCTATAAGAAACAATTGTAATTATGTAAGGTGATAAATGTTAACTCAACTAACTGTGGTAATCATATTGTAATATATACATATATCAAATCATTATGTTGTATGCTACAAACTAATGCAATGTTATAGGTCAATTACATCTCAATGAAACTGGGAAAAAAATAAATAAAACAGATCTCTCTGGTTATCATGACTGACCTACTAAACTAGCATTTCTGGTGCTAGGACCAGCAATATGAATTTTATTTAGAATTCCAAAATTTTCACAGGCATTAGCTAAGACTTTGTCTGTTAAGACCTATACATACTATTCTGTATCAGTCTAAAGATTCACCAGCTAATGTGATGGCTTTGAGAGTGATACTGACTTTCAGGAGAACTTTATTCCCTGCATTCTACATGCCATCCTCAAATCCTGGCTACTTAAATTCCAGTAAAACTTTACAGTTTCATATCAGAAAATAAACACTGAAAGTATTCATAAATATTTTTAATATGTAGTCCTCTTGCTACTAATTTCTCAGGTCCCTTCTTCCAGCTCCTATTGAATCTAGTGGCTGTGCCCAATTTCCTTTATAATACAGGAGGTCTCTCACATGATCTATAAATGCTAGGCCACAATCTAAACCTCCTATTCTGACCTCAGAATATGTGCAAACAGCTTCCATGCCTTTAACTTCTGTTTCAGTGTTAGAGTCAGAGTAGCAAATTTTGTTTCATGCCTCTTGAGAGGTCTCAGTAATCATTAATTTACAGTGATTGTGCCAAAATAATTAGATCTTTGAAGGTAATGTGCCTTGTCTTTCTTCCATGTTCTTCACTAAAAGCTAGTAAAAAAAAAATATTCAAATTTATATGGAAGATAACAAGTAAAATAATTTTTTTAAAAAATGTTGCTCTGTGGCCTAAAATTTTACGTAGAAGTCTTTATCCTATTATCACAGATGAATACAACACTTAACTATCTCCTTCATGGCTGTTAAGGCACAGTAGAGTCAATTCATGCCCAGGGAGCTTTAATCACAGACCATCGTCATGATAAATGGTAAAAAGTCAGTGTGGGCTATCATGTCAACGGCTACTAGGGGAGTTTTTAATGGAACATTGGCAGCATGCAGTTCATAACTACTTTCAAGGAGCACTTCTGATCTAATGGCTCAATGAGTATCATTACAGTATCTTTACATGTAGTATTTCTAGAGAAAATCCATTTTAAAGAAGCCTGGTTACTGTAGTCCATGCATACAACTAAGATTGTTTGAGTGATGCAAATATTGTTGGTGGTTTAAAGTTATACTGGTGGAGAGAGAATTGATAACTTATTAGCAGGTTAAGCTATCAATTTTTAATTTTTTGTGACCCATTATATCATTTATAACCACAAATCAAGCATTCAAGTGGGGCTGTGAAAAAAGAATAAGAAGAATAATGATAACAGTAAAGAGCAGGTTGGAAAGGTAAAAGATATCCAAGCATTTTTTTTATGTTGCTCCAGGTGGCATTTATATTCTGCCTTGTTTTTCAAGCCCCCACACTAGAACCTACAGAAACTGTTTTAAATAATACCTCAGAATTTAAAAATAGACATTATGATCAAGAAGAACAGGGAAGAATTAAGAAGCAGACCATTTGAGAAAATAACAATCCAATGCGAGTTTTCTAAAATTAAAAATGTTCTGAATGCTTGGAATAAATAAAAATATAGCTTAGCCAATCAGAAAAAGGAAATTCAAACCAAATCCCCCTTGTGTCCTGTTGTGTATTTGGAAAAGATGCTGAATGTTCATATTGAGTAAAAAAGCTATCTGAATCTTAAAGCTGGGCTACATGGGGCTACAGATACATTTTACTTAGCCAGCATAGTAATTTAAAATAATCATGGGGTCCCTGGGTGGCTTAGACAGTTGAGCGTCTGACTCTGGCTAAGGTCATGATCTCATGGTTCATGAGTTTGAGCCTACATTGGGCTCTGTGCTGACAGCTCAGAGCCTGGAGGTAGCTTCTGATTCTGTGTCTCCCTCTCTCTCTCTAACTCTCTACCACTCATGCACTGTCTTTTTCCCTCTCAAAAATAAATAAACATTTAAAAAAATAAATAATCAAAAACTAAAGATTTGAAGACTTCAGAAAGTCCATGTCAAATATCCAGATTGCCACAGGCTGCACTGCTCCGCACTCTCTTACATGGAGTTTCTTCATGTAGTTAATATCCAACTAGCCACTTGAGGTTGGGCCCCTCTTAGTTCTCACTGAACCGGCAGGATGTTAGAACTGGTAGGGACTGAGAGATCATCTAGTCTAACAGCCCCATTTGAAGTTAATACAATAGGCACCTGTGATGTGCTCCAGGTGTTGCAGGTAAGTGATAAATCACTAAATTCTACCCCTCAAACTAATATTAAACTGTATGCTAACTTGGGGCGCCTGGGTGGCTTAGTCGGTTAAGCGTCCGACTTTCACTTAGGTCATGATCTCGCGGTTCTTGGGTTCGAGCCCCACGTCGGGCTCTGTGCTGACAGCCAGTTCAGAGCCTGGAGCTTGTTTCAGAGTCTGTGACTCCCTCTCTCTCTCTGACCCTTCCCTGCTCATGATGTCTCTCTCTCTCTCTCCTAGAAATAAATAAAGCATTTAAAAAAAACCTGTATGCTAACTAACTGGAATTTAAATAAAATCTTAAGAAAGAAAAAAAGAGTTGATACAAAAGGAACCAAGGGAGATAACAGGGATGTATTTTAAGACTCCATTAAACAATTCAGTAGAAACTCTTTATGGTGGTATTTGGATTGCTCAGGCACCCAACAATCTGTTGTTATTTGGCACAACAAAAAGACTTGACTCGTACTTTTGAATCTTATGCTAAGTCAAACTTGGCCTAAAAGAATGATGATGGTTCAGTTATCGATTCATGAGTTGGTTTCAATGAGTCCCTGTTGCTGGGAAATACCAGAAATAATCCAATTTTAAAACTTTCTGCTTGATAAATACCACAATATCCAAATACACATAAATATGCAAAGACTTTTCATTCACTATCATTAAGCATTGACACAGAACCTATAAGGATTCTTGAATTTTAAGATACTATTCAATTCACCATTGCTTCAAAAATAGACAACACTCCAGGAACACATTACTATCTTAATACTAACTCTAGCATTATTTTAAGACTGAATGGCAAAATCATGCACATACACATGGACAGGGACATGGACATAATTAAAGGGTTTTCAGGCCATGGAAAACTAACTGTATGGAGAAATATCAACTTATTCCCTATCATCACTCTTTTTCAGGGAGGCCTCTGGCCATGAATCAGTGTTTGTGGCAGCTATCTGGTATATGAGGAAGCTGATCAATAGAATATAGCATATGAACTTAAAACCAGAGAAGAAAAATCAACCTCATTAACATCAAATATAAACATCTTTTAAAAGGGCAACTACTATGCTGATTATACAGACACTTTCCAGTTGCCTATTTTTTATCAACTTTTATATTCTATTTGGAGTCATATTTAAAACAAAAAGCAATAATGAAGTTATTTTTAAAGAATATGACCAACTTGACAATAAACTATTTAAAATTAAAAAAAAAGAATATGATCAAAAAGAAGAGGGGGACAATTCTTGCAATTATTGTCAAGTATAAACACACTGAAATACCTCATATTCCTGGGAAAACTTCAAGTTGTCATTTGCTTTCAACCTTTCAATGTGATCTGCAAGTTCCAAGATAGGAATTGGAGGATGGCTAGCCATACCTATTAAAAGGAAAGAAGAAACACATTTGAAACCAAATGAAAACAATGTTAACTATCTCAAAATATAGAGAATACTATAGTTAGAAATGGCCTGAAAACATGAGAGTAGTAAAGATGTTTAATGTGAGGAAGCAGGCAGATAGTTTGGTTACTCAAAGCAGGACATGCTCTGGACGGATGAATTTTGTAGCCAAATGAAAAGTCACCAAGCATGATCCCCAAACTAACACTCCTAGTGTAAAAGAAAGCGTTATTGTGCTATGAATCAATACAGTTAGCTAGCGGAGAAAACTGACAGTCAGGCTTGATGTCAACTTCTGCTTTGAGTAATGACTCTTATGTCATTTCAAACTCCTTCTCCTGCACTGTGTGAAATGGTAATCGTGTGGAATTGAATGGTGTAAAGTGAACTAAGAAAACTGACACTGAGAAAGGCCTAAAAGGGAAAGAGTAGTAGCTTGATAGGAAACATAAAGTGACTTATGCATAATCAAGGAAAACTAACTTGAAGAATGAAGGTTACCAGGGTAACCGGAATCACCTGAACCTGCAAAGGAAATGATGATGTAAATAAAATAAAATAAAACGGATTTGTTAAAGAAAAATGAAATGGATAGTCTGATATAGTTTTGTAAAGGACTGATAAAAACACTGAACGCTTTTACAGGATTCACTATACACTGTGACTTGATTAAGATTGCTTTAATAGTTCACAAACCTGGAGGTGATTGACATTCACATGCAAACATGGGCACAAAGAATGGCATGCACCACAGTTCATAGACGATAATCACTAATGACAAAATCAGACACCAAACTGAGTTTCAAAAATGTTTCCACTAGTAGCAGATTGTAGAGGTTGGGGTTGTGGCCTTTACCTTAGACATTTATAAATTGCCACGCGCTAACAGCTTTATGGTATTTGCCCCAGGTCCCCGTGTTTCAACCCCCAGCAAACCTACAATCTACTTCAGGTGTAAACATCTTTGTCCATTAATGGGAAATGAATGCAGGAGGGTGAGCAAATGGGCAAAGGGCAAGGAGCAAAAGAGGATAGAAAAAGAAAGAAAGCAGTGACAGGTGTGGCACATCTTAGTTCAGTCTGCCAGCTGAAGTGAGATTAGTTTCACAGATTCTGTTTAAAAGAATCCACCACTAATTTTGGCGATTCCTGGGTCTTTCCAATGTTTTCTCACTTTTCATGTGATTTACATTTTATTTCTTTGTGATGCATTTTTTAAAAGTACCATGAGAGAGCATTGCTGACTCATGTCTTATGGATACATATCCAGCTGGCTAGAAAAACTTGAACTAGCATGCCCCCAGGGAAGCCTCTGAAGCTGAAAAGGAATGGGGGAGGAGCTCAAACTGGAGGCCATGTTGACATCTGCTGTCCTGAGATTCTCTGGAAGGTGTTAGGCTATGGAACGGTGACCATTAAGTCAACATGACATGTAATTACATTATGGGCATTTTAGAAATTGTGCCATTAATGAAAAACACCCAGAGCTACAGTAAGTTCCTGTAGCTCAAATGCCAAATTATCAATGCTTCTGGTAAGTAAAAAAATATTTTGCTTTTTCTAGACAATTTTACCATTTCAGCACAGTGCTATGATAGGTGGTGTTTTAGTGTTTATGACTTCCAGTCAACTAAAATCTTGGTGGAAGAGCTAATAAAAATGAGTTGGCTTAGAAATAGAAACTCTTTGTTGCTGATATAATTGTGTATTTGGATCAAAATGTTGGAGGCCATATCTGGAAGTTTTCCATATAGATGGTAGAATTGAACTAATTTACATTCTGTGGAGGGAGGAAGTAGGTGGCAGTAGTCTAATAATTAAAGTGATCTTATCCAGATGAGGCACCCCCAATGACACAAATGGAAATGCAAAGGCACAAGAGACTCTAGGCTGATCTGGAAATGGAAATGGAATGATGTGGACATCCATTACAGTGCTTTAACAGAGAAAATAAAGAGACAAAGATGTTTAGACCTTTTCGAGCGAATCGTGGGAGAGAGTTATTATCATATATGGACTGAGTGGTGGTTTGGCTAGAGAGGGAGGACACAGAGCCAATCAGGGAGGCGTAGGGGACTGAATTACTGCTCAAAGCTGCAAAAAGTAAAGCCAGTTGGAGATGGGAAAAGTATTAGTATAACAGCAGTAGAAGACCATAATAATCAACCAAAGATGTGATCAACATATTTACTTTGGAAGCTAATTATACAGAAATCCAAGTAAACCTGCACTGAATCATTACCTTCTAAATCAGGATGTATATATCATATACAAAGATAGCTTAGCATTCAAGAACCATTATTTAAGACACATAAGTATGTATTATGTTGCATCCAATTTCTTGACAAGTGAAAACGCCAGAATGGATGTTTCACAGGAAGGGGAGGAGAACATGTGGGACTCTGATGGTACAGGAGAAGGAATCCTAGACTAGAATACGGATAGGAATTCTCTTTCTGGTTTTGCCTTCTCCTAATAGGGGTAAATCACTTGTTATCAAGAACCTCATTTTTTTAAATCTGTAAAAGAAAACCACAGAGCTAGGTAAATTCTGGAGTCCCATCTTTATAACTCCCATTTCTGCCTCATGTAGATAGGATTTCTAAACCTATGGAACAGAGAAGGGTCTCTTGGACACAGTTCACAGGCAAAGGTTCTAAAAGTACTTGTAACTTTTTGTTGAGCTCTAGGGAGCATTTACTTTTACACAACAGAAAATGTATGCAGTTGAATTGTCAAATTTTTGAATTATTTAAGTTCATTATCATTTTTTTTAGCTAACCAGAAAGTACGATGTTATGCCATGTATTTGAAATAAATAAATAGCATCATAAAAATTATCCTACTTAATAAATCAGGGATGAAACTCTTCTAACATGAAACTCCAGCTCACACCAGAAAAGAATCACCAAGGAGCTACTATTATAAAATTCCCTCCAAACTTCTCCATTGTCCAACATGGAAACAATTTTATATGTTATAATCAAGCATATTAGATTCTGAATGAATATTCAGACACCAAGAAAACTGTGATGTTGACCTCACTGTAGTATCTTTTCAGTTGCTTGTCTGGACAACCCGCTATTGCTTACAGTCTACAAACCAATATTTTTATTAGATAAGAGTTTTTTACATTGGCATCATTTGAAGTACTTTAAAATTCCTTTTTTCCAGGCTGCACACCAGACCAATTAAATAAGAATCTCTGTGGGTGTGAACCAAGCATTGATCTTTTTTTTTAAAAAAAAATTTTTTTTTTTAATGTTTTATTTATTTCTAGGAGAGAGAGAGAGACAGCGTGAGCAGGGGAGAGTCAGAGAGAGAGGGAGTCACAGACTGAAACAGGCTCCAGGCTCTGAGCTGGCAGTCAGCACAGAGCCCGACGGGGCTCGAACCCACGAACCGCGAGATCATGACCCAAGCGAAAGTCGGACGCTTAACCGACTAAGCCACCCAGGCGCCCCAAGCATTGATCTTTTTAAAGCTCCCAAGCAATGGCTCTCAGTTCGATGGAAATTATGATGGGGAGGCCCTGTCATTCCATTTATTCATTTTTTTCCCATTCAAAAATTATATTGTAGTTTATGAGAATGCAATATGATTTTTTTCAGTAATACCTTGAATCTGCCCTGATTCTCCATTTAGCACACTTTAATACTTTAGCTATTATTAGTAGCAAAGAACTTGAATTGCAGCTCACAGTTGATAAGGACTTGCCAGGGTCATGACCTTATCCGTTCAAAGCTACAAATGCACAACATAAGTGCTTTTTAAGGGCACACGTTGAATCTGAACAGTGTTTTCATTTTGAAGCCATGATATCCACAATAAACTCTGTCAGCATGAAAAATGAATGGATGTAGTCACTGAAATTTGCCTTAGGTTGGAGGAAAAGCCATGATGGCTACTTTTAAAAAGGTACATATTTGTGATAGAAATGTCATAAAGGCTTCCTTATAAGAACTGAACCTTTGGGGCGCCTGGGTGGCTTAGTCGGTTAAGCGTCCGACTTTCGCTTAGGTCATGATCTCGCGGTTCGTGGGTTCGAGCCCCGCGTCGGGCTTTGTGCTGACTGCCAGCTCAGAGCCTGGAGCCTGTTTCCGTCTGTGACTCCCTCTCTCTCTGACCCTCCCCTGCTCACGCTGTCTCTCTCTCTTTCCTAAAAATAAATAAAAAAACATTAAAAAATATATAAGAACTGAACTTTTAAAACCATGGCATTTTAAGCTGAGAAGTACTTTAGAGATTACTTAAGCCTAGCATTTTCATCTTACACAAGAAGACTCTGAAGTCCAGAAAAGATAAATGACTTTGTTAGTCCATCTAGTAAATAAAATCTTAAGTGGTTTTGGCATCTTGCTATTGTATTAATTCTGGAATGGCAGTTAAAAATCTTCTTGAGCAGGGCACAATTTCTTCAGTGGCTGAAGGGGGCAGATTGGTAAGGTAAATAACAGAGGATGACCAGGTAGGGCATAGCAAACAACTTCACAAATAAATGCACTCATACTCATTTCCTTGCAGCAAGCAGCCTTCTATGTCTGTCTTTCAATTCCCTACTTTTCAAAGGAGGCTCAAGAAAAGAATATTACTCTATTATATGCAACATAAAAATAAGCATGAGATGAATGGCAACTGACATTCAGTCTCAATGTCAGGGTCATGTTTAGGGCTGGAGTAGATTGTGCAGAACTTGTACAAGGGTCAAACTATTCAGCTCTAGTCAATATCTTCTAGGTGGAAATGCAGAGCCATGAGATAAGACTTTTCAGGTTTTCAGTAGCAACTGCAGATGCAGATTATGATGTGTTTTCACTGTTGCCACAAATTCTTGCTGAGACCCAGTGGGAGTCAAAGACAGGACCTCTGCAGGCCACATTTGGCTTACTAAATTGTGACCTCTGTTTTAAAAGAACAAAATCTTCCTTTCTTGTGTAAATTAAAATCCATGCAGGTTGAGAATAATAGCATGCTTGCATCCACAAGACAATGGGCTAGATATCAGGAGTTGTCTTTGGGGTGTGGCAATGTATACTTCCTGCATGGGTCACCCTCTGGGAGTTCATTTATTTCTTCCTTTCCATATTAATTTTATCAGTCAGGAAAATGAAGCAGAGAGGGGTAAAAGTCTTGATTAAGGTTATCACTATTACTAAAACTAAGACTATGTGGAGGATTTGATCACAGACCTTGTCATTTCTCATTTTGGGCATTTTTCATTATGTCATACTGTCTGTTACACGACTTAACACATTGGAGGAGTGGTGCCATGTATATAAATATGAGCCTGTGAGAATGTTTGGGCTATTTATGCCCTGACACAGAGATTGCAAACCATATTCAGTTTACAGAAAATGTGTCAATAATAGCTTCATATAAAGGTATGTCTGCTTCCACGGTGGGGAAGATGTAAAAGGCACTCTTACACATACCTGTATTTTCCAGTCACCTCTACTCAAAATTTTGTGAGTTTCCATGAAAACTGGAACTAAAGGTTCAAAATGTTAAAAACTGCAGGGGCACCT